GCCTTAGCCCTGCTGGTAGAGAAGAAGAAGGTATTTTAACCTCGTAAGCATTAAACAACTGTTTGCTTAACCAGTAACTTATGGAAGAAACTGATTTTTTTGTTCTTCAGCAAACTGCAAAAATGTCAGCGTGATCTGTCCAAACAAAGTGTTTCTGTGGAGCGCTGCTCGCCAGCGGTGGGATCTGCTGATCACAGTGGGCTGTTGTGGGCGAGAGAAAGCCAGCATTGTGCCGCCGGACAAAGGGGCACAGACAGGAGGAGAGGTTCACAAAGGGTCCTGTGGATTTTTGGGTTGCACATCCATCAGGCTATTTATAACGCCACATCCCGTACGGGCTGTGCCCCTGTTTGCTGTGAAGTTGTGCTGCCACTTATTGCTCTTGCAGAACTCGGAAAGTTATTGAAGAAGGAGGGAGCAGCTTGAAACAGCTGTTGGGAGCACTTGGGTAGATGGCCATTGTAACGTTTGCACCAACAGAAAATGTCCTGTATTGCAAAGCCTTTCCTCAGGTTCAGGTATTTTAAATTTAGTCCAACAGAGAATTGTTTTCCCTGTGTGGAGGTCACCGTTAGCTGCCTTGGCCATGTTCGACCATAGAATCAGAGAATAGTTTGGGTTGGAAGGGACCATGGAGGTCAGCTAGTCCAACCCCAACATCTTCCACTGGCCCAGCTTGTCCAGAGCCCCATCCAACCTGACCTTGAACGTTTTCAGGGATGGGACCGGATTGATCTCACATGTAAATGCAGCCAAAACGATTTCGTTTTCTGTACGGTGTTTGGGACCACCACTCCTGGCACAGGGGCGTTGTGTGAGCTGGTGACCTTCCTGATGTCTTTCCTGCAAACAGACGTTGCTAGCTCAGAGCTGTCATTCCCTCTCCCTGCTTTGCTGCCAGACGGACGCTCGCTGCCGTAGGCAGTTTCTGTGCTGGATGGGGCACTGCATCTCAGGCTGGGGAGCATCCGTCCTCCAGATGTGGAGGAGATGGTGGTCTGGCAGCTCGTGGTGAGCGTTCTGTGCCGTTGGCCAACACGCTGCAGCTCCAGAGCCTGCGTTCAGTGCCGTCTCCAGAGGGAACACGCTGTATTTGCTTGTGGTGGGGTTTGGTGACGAGCTCCATGCCCCAACGAAATGAGGTGGTGCTTTGTGTCGTTAGATGGCTGTCTGGGGTAGGAGGGCGATGGGTGTGCTTCTGTCAGCCTGGATTTTCATTTTCTGTCTGACACTGCACGTGAAGACGTTTTGAGATTTTCAGAACACCCTCGTTGGCTTGTGCTGGCTGCCCAGGTTGCCCTTCTGGAGCATTTGACAGTGATCTGCAGCAGTGTGGCAGTCGAACTTTGCTCTTGGGTGGTCTGGATGTGCCCTGTGTGACCTGAGAGCATTGCCAGGTGGATATGGATGTAATCATCACTATATTTTCCATAACGGATCCTTTTGCTTCCTTCTAGGGTTGCGTTGTGCCCTTGGAATAGGTCCGGGACAGGTTTACTTCGTTAGCACCCAATGCCTCTCCGAAGGAAGGACCCTTCGTGGGTGGTTTGCCATAGAGCCACATTGTTCTTCTAGAATCATGTGGGCTTCATGCAACCTAAAAAGTCCTTTGTGTTTGTTTTTTTTTTTCACAGCCTAAGTAGAGACAGAGTTTTTTTTATAGCTGTGGTAACCCGTTTAATCTTGCTTCTTACACAGAATCATGCTAATAAAAGAAAGATCAGCCTTTCTTAGTCCCAGCCCTACTTGCAAATGACAGACCTTGGAAATTTATTCAAATAGAAGTGGCAACATATGGTTTTATGTGGTGGGATTTGATTTCAGCATTCGTCTTGGATTTTGGCCAATCTTCAGGCTGGAGGCTTCATCTCCAGTTCCACTCTCTTTAATCTTCCAGGATAAATTATATCATTTCATGCAAGTCAGCTCGCTGTCTCTGGAAACGCACATGTTCCCAGCACTGACTCATCTGATGATAGCGTGAAATATCTGCGAGCAGCCACCGAAAGCCGCAGGTTGTTGTTGCTTTTCCTCTTTGCTATCAGCTGCCGTAGCCCAGCCAGGGCTGCCCGTGTCCCGGGATCAGCAGTTCTCTGCCGGGGCCGTATCACTTTGCGTTACTCCCTAATTTAATTAGCCAGCCGTAAATGCCTCGTAGTTGTTTATGTCAGCTTTTCTCATCCATGTGGAACGGGTTTACATTCGATTTCCCAGAAATCAGTCCTTCTGGCTTTTGTTCGTGAGTGATCGAATGCACCATTGTTCGGTTTGTTTCCACAATAGATGATTTTGTTCAAGTCGGCTCTATTTTTTCTGAAGTGGATACAAGAGAGACGCGATTGTTCAGAGCTCAAAGTTGAGTCGAGCCTACTTTTTTCTTTTGTTATGTTGACTCTTAACTGTTTGATGGGGAGCAAAAGAGTACAGAGAGCACTGGAAGAGTTTGCAGTTGGTTGAACCAAAATACCATCCCGTTTACTGCATCAGGAAAAAAATGGCTTGGGATAATAACGTAGGGATGAGAGCTAAGCAGGCTGTGGTGCAAGGGAAGGAGAGGGTTCCTCCCATTTGCTTTGGGTGGGAGCTGGATCAGGCCCAGCGTGTGCCTCCAAATTCAAATTATATCCTGTGGCCTTTGATCCTTACAGTGCCAGTAGGTTCCTGAAACTCAGCAAGATTCTGGTTTTCTCTTTGGCTCGTCTTGACGGAGGCTTTTACAGCGTTTCATCTCTTTTCCTCCTGAAGGGCACATTGCTCCTGCGTGGAAGAGTGTGTGTCCCGGGAGATGCTGGTACAGGAATGGTAATAATCCTGCATACTTTGTGAAGAACTTGCTTTTTGGGAGGATCTAGAATCACAGAATCTTGGAATGGTTTGGGTTGGAAAGGACCTCAAGGATCATTGAGTCCCACCCCCTGCCATGGGCAGGGACACCTCCCACCAGCCCAGGTTGCCCAAAGCCTCATCCAGCCTGGCCTTGAACCCCTCCAGGGATGGGGCACCCACAGCTTCTCTGGGCAACCTGTTCCAGGATGGTCACACCAAAATGCTCGCGATGATCTCCCTATTTTCACAAGGGCGCTCCTGGCCATTTTGGATTTGGGTTTGGAGGTTTGGTGGCTTTGCAGAGCCTAAGGCTCTTTACTGGTGATGCCAGCTCTCGAGGCACCCACGGTGGGGCTGGGGCAGGGGCTCGCTCGCTTGCCCTCGGCTCTCCTTGGAGCTGCTCTAACCATCAGCAGTGCCTACATGGCGTTTGGGCTTTGATCTCGCAGCAAGGCGATTACTCCAGAAGAAAAACCCAGAATTAGACTGAAGATTTACAACCTGAGGCTGAAAGGCAGTGGCTCTCCAAACCCACTCATCCTTCCCGTGTCCCAGGGACCCCCCCTTGCTCAGCAGACACAGGTCATGCACGCTTCGCCCCTTGCACAACTGCAGGATGGGCAACGCCAAGGAGACTTGCTCCATCCAAGCGTGGGTCTGTCTGGGCTCTGTTTTGCTCTTAGACCTTAATGTGTGTTTTATGGGCTTGGTGGAGGCATTTAATGCTTCAAACCCACTTTCCTGGCGTAGGCTGTAGAGAGCTGAGCCCTTTGGGTTTAGGACCATGATCATTTACTTGAGCAACAAGTGCAGTCTGTTTTTCCCGAGGGTGCAGGCTCTGTTGCTTAAGCATGTTTATTCTACCTTGTGAGGCTTTAAGGTTCAACTGGAGACACTTAAATACGACTTTAGCAAGTGTTGGTGTGAGAGCTCGGTGCCCTGCCTGCCGGAGGCTGTGCCTTTGGGGTTGCAGAGCCTGCATGGAGCCCAGTAGTTGCAACTTGTGGGATCGTGGCCATGAATATTGATGATAATGTTATCAAATAGTTCATCTTAACCAGCATCCCTGTCCTCTCGCAGAGATCCAGCGGTGGAATTCCCATTGGCGTCAGGTGCTGACCACAAAAATCTGAATAACAACCCGAATGGGGGCAGTTCTGCTTAGGAACGACAGAAGATCTGTCGCGTGCGCCACAGCTATGGTTTATTCAGCCATAACAGACACAAAGCGTGGCCAGAGGTCTCTCGACAGGCCACGGCTCGCAGGGCTTGGCAGATCTCGGGATCAGAGCAGGTCCCACTGAACTCCGGGGAGAAACTCCCCCTGATGTGAGTGAGGTCTGCTCTGTGCTTTCATCTGCCTGTAGGAAGAGAGACATGGGTCCAAAGAGGGAGTTGGTACTGGAATAGTAATAATCATGCACACTTGGTGAAGAACTTGCTTTTTGGGAATATCTAGAATCATGGAATCATGGAACCACAGAATGGTTTGGGTTGGAAGGGACGTTAAAAACCATTGAGTCCCACCCCCTGCCATGGGCAGGGACACCTCCCACTTGTTAAATATTTTGTCGTTTTGGTGTGGATTACTCTAGGTGGTTTGTGTGCTGAGAAAAGTAGTAATGGGCTGGAGAAGCTACTGTGAAGTAAGATTTAAACAGTGTCCTGAGACCCGCTTTGTCTTAGATCTTATTCCTCCCTCAAGTAGCTTGTGTCTCCTGCCAGCACCCCTGTACTGCAGCTCTGTAATTCTCACCAGCTGATGGTTACACTCATGTGCTTCACTCCTTTTTTTTTTCCTCCATGGAATTTGTTCTTCTTCCTAATTCCATTATAACACAGTGGAAAGCCAGTTCTGAACTGGGAAAGGGTCTCAGTGCCATAGCCTGGTGCAGCTCTGTGTCTTAACCTCTGTACCGTCGGTGGGTGCAGTTAAGTTTTTAGGGGGAAAAGAGAAGCAAAGAATTATGTTCTATTTATACCTGACCCCCTAGACTTCCAGCGCAGGTGTTCACCTGTGACTCCTCCACTGGATTTGTCATGAAGAATATTTTTAACAGGAGAGGAGACCTGGACGGAGAGGTTCTGAGCCAGCAGATCAGCTGCTTTTGAAATGGTTTAATACTCTCTTGTGCAAACCGTAGTTTAACAAGCACGTGGTGATTCTTTTGTAGGTGTGTGGAGAGAAGCAGCGCTTTGAGAAGCTGATGGAGCACTTCCGAAATGAGGACAACAACATAGACTTCATGGTGAGTGCTGTTTGCCACCGGCGAGCTTTGGTTTGGGTGTTCCCTGGGGCTGGTCCCGCTGTCGTAGGCAGCAGAGAGATGTCCCTGCCTTCCCATCCTCAGCCTAAAACCGCCACAAACCAGGCTTTTGTATTCCAGCCTACATAACGTGCGTTTCATTTGTAGCTTCAGTTCTATTCAGTTATCTCCAAGGAATGCCTTGTGCCGTGCGAAGGTAAGAGGAGAGTCACTGTGTGTGCCATTTCACCGCGGCCAGGCAGCAGCTTCTGCAGGGTGCAGTGTTCTGTCCCTGTGCCACCGTCCTCGGCGTCACCGGCAGGGAACAGCTGCTCTCTGTCCTTAGCTGCTGATAAACGTAGCCGGAGTTTGCACCACCTTGGGTTCCTCCGTGTGCATCTGCATGGTTACTCACCCGACCGCTTCCCCAGGGCACCGGCGAGGGAGGATGCTGTGGCTGGCACCCGGGGCACCCGCGCCAGCTTGCACGGGGAGGGCAGCGGCTGGGACAGCAGGGATGAGCTGGCAGGTTATGCAGCCGATAGCAGCAGTACCTCTGTGTCCGTTTCTGTAGAGTCTGTGGCAAGACAGTGCTCGTGGCAGAAGGGTGAGAAATTAAAGCTGTTTTTAATTATGAAATGAACATGGTACTGGCACGGTCAGGTCAGTCTCTGTTCCACTGCTCGTGGTTGCTGCTGGTGTGCTGAGCCTCTGTGAAGCGTCTGTGACCCTTCTGTACTGTGTCAGCGCTGAGCTTTGCGTTGAAGCCCTCTTCCTGCCAGGAGTTAGGTGCTAGAGCACCCGCTGCGGTGTTTTCTGCCGGCTTTGAGCACTTTGCTGTGCAGCCCCGATGGCCGGGGCAGGCTCGCACCGTGAGGGGACAGCAGAATAAAAAAGAAATGATGCGAGCAAGATAGGACGGCCTCTTTTGTGTATTTAAAACCAAGAAAACCTCCCAGTGATCCCTGAAATTTTACTCCAGGTAGCAAACTGCTCCCAGTAACTCTCTGGTTTTGTTCCTTGCTGCAGTCCCAGTAAGGGCATGTTGGGAGTCCCAGTATACATCAAATATTCTCAGCTGTACGTACAGTTTGGTCAGTGATATAACAGAAGGATTTGTCACCCAGCACCCAGCGCTGGGTCATTTTACCCAGGAGGGGTGATGGTATTTGGGGAGTGGGAGAGGAGCAGCGGTGGGGGCAGCCTGGCAGCAGGATGGTGGCAGCAGCCCGCAGCCAGCTGCCTTGCTGTGAGATAGGGGATTTCTCCGCTGTTCTCAAAGAAAAAACTCATCCCTCATCTATACTTGAAGTATGAAATGGTGTGTTGTAAGGATGTGATAGGGAATAAGCAAAACTCCCTGGTCCTCTCGGGCCATAGGTTGAAGGCGGTGGTGGAATTTGCTTGAAAAAGGATAAATAACCTCTTTTTTCAGGACTTACCCAAATAGGAATCAAATCTGCATCTTTGGGCTGCTTCCACCAGCTCCAGGCTTGCCTCTCTGACAAGCCCAAAGCTAGAAGAGAGAGCTCCTGACAAAGGATGTGGCAGATCCGCTCGTGCCTGTCGCCATCTGGCCCTGACGAGCTCCGCGTGCCGTGCGAGCGCGTGTCGGGGCGAGCAGGGAGCACCGGCGTGTGCTGCTGCCTGCAGGACGGGGTGGCACCGGCACCGCAGCTCAGCCTGCGGGATGTCACCTTGAAACTCCAGGAGGTGCAATGGCTGAGCGTGAACAAAGAGCTGTTCCTGCGGGACGTGGCCTCACGCTGCCCGAGCTGGGGAAGGCGAGAGCTGGCCGGGAGCTGGAGCTGGAAGGGGCCGTGGTTAACGGCGTGGGTCGGCAGGGAGGAGAGAGCAGCAAAAAGAGAAAAAATATTTTAGAGAATTTTCCTGTTGTTGCTATTGACTTGCTTCATTTTAAAAACAACTTTCTTAGGTTAGTTTTCTATGACTTGATAAATTCCTGGGTTGTGTATGTAAGGGTCTGAGAAGGGAAATGAGGATCTGGCCCGAGCATTGCAAGAGCCGAAGCAAGGACAACAAAAGCACTTTTGAAAGAGGGGAATTTGGCTCTGGGGGATACCACAGGACAGCAGAGTTCAGCTGGCGAAGGCCAGTACCAGCACTAGGAGGAACCTGGGTTCACCGCAGGAACTGGAAGGAGTCCTGCAAAGACTTGGAACCTGAAGTTGGGTTTGGATCTGCATGGTTGGGTTGTTCGTGTAAGAGGTGGGTGGATGGGGCATCACAGGCGCTCCTGGACGAGTTTTTGACCATCTTCCTTCCTCTCTTCCGTGGGTTTATCCTGCTTTCAGTCTCACAGCGCGGCATTGTGTAGGGTTAGAGTCATTTTGGAAACAGAGGTTAAAGCTGGGCAGGGTCTGCATGGGAGGATGTAGCTGGAAGGTTTTGGCTGACCCTTGCTGTGTCCCTTGGTGTTTTTCACAAACCCAAACTATAGCCCCGTACTAGCTGCTATGGAGAAAATTAACTGTGTCCCAGCCAAAAGCAGCACAGCCCTGTAACACAGAGAAGTGCCCGATGTCCTGGTGATCCAGAGATCGCCCAAAATGACCCAGAGACGTGGGGTCTCCTGGAGACTTGTCCCATGGGTGAAATCAGGATGCTTTGATTTTACCTTCTCAGGTCAGCTCTAGGAATGTGGGAGGTGTCTCAGGAGGTGCTGGGAAGCTGGTGTGACCCCTGTGGCCGCCCCAGTGGCAGCGTGGCTAGCAGGAGAGGGTTGTGGCTAGCAGGAGAGGGTTGTGCCCTTGTGAAGCCCAGCAAAGACTCTCTCTGAGAGCAGCTCGAGGGTGACAGATGTGATCATCTGTGAACTGAGAGAGGGCTGGGCATTCTTGCGCAGAGCAGGATTTGGCTGTGCCTTACATTCAAGCAAAGGGCAAGCCTTTGGGGGTTCGTAGCTCCATTCGTGGAGGGCAGGAGGCTTCCCCCACGGCTCATTCTGCTCACAACCCGCTTCCCTCGAGAACCTTTTCCTTTCCTTCGCTGCGATGGGATGTGTTTGGATGCCGACCCCTAGGATCTGGTCCCTCGTTCCGTTACCAAACCACAGCTTTGGGAACAGGCTTTCTGCAAGCAACAAAGCGCCTTTTGTCAACGTCCCGTTTCCTCAGCGAGGGGTTCCAGTTGCTGAGTTAATCTCACTTTTCCAGGGCGTTTCAGCGCCAGCGTTGTTTTGTTGAGAGCTGGAGCGCTGGTACGCTGCCTGGCCGCGTGAGCTGGCGCGGGGTCGTTTCCGTTCACCGGCGCGCGCCGAAGGTGGCTCTGCAGACATGACTTAATTCTGGAACCCGCGTTTCCCTTTGTCGCAGCAGACAAGCCCAGATCCAGCACCGGCTTGGAAAAAAAAGCCGCAGAGCAGCGGATCACATTTTCCCCTTGTAAAAACCTCAAGGAAATGGGGTTGTTCGTGGTGTCTGCCCCGATTTTGGGGGGCAGCCGGGGCCATGCCGTCACCTCTAATGTTGGGTGGTTCTCCTTGCAGGTGGCCTGCATGCAGTTCATCAACATCGTCGTCCACTCGGTGGAGGACATGAACTTCAGGGTCCACCTGCAGTACGAGTTCACGAAGCTCGGCTTGGACGAGTACTTGGACGTGAGTATGAGCCGGGGTCTGCCACCGCCTCGCAGCATCGATCTGCTCCCCCGGTCCACACCACATCCCCCAGTTCTGCTCCTAAACCTCCTTACACCCCCTCACCCTGGAGTTTTTGTCCCCTTTTCCCGGGAGTTTTTGTCCCCTGGCCTCGGCTGAAAGCACAGCACCGTGGCTGCTGGCCGGGAGCCACCCCTGCAGAAGGAAAGCCGTCTGCGAGTGACTGCAATTACAGCCCGGGAGCTAAATTCGTCGCTTCGCCTTATAACAAAGGGAGGATGAACCGCAGTCGTCCTCGCCCGCGCCACGTCCCCGAGCTCCGGCCGCGGGCTGCAGGGCTCATGTTGGCCCAGCTCAGGTGCTGCCAGGCTCCCCCCCACATGAAAAAATCTTCCTTTGGGTTTCCTCCTGCCAGCCGGGCGATTTCTGGGTCCTGTGGGAAATGCTGTCTTTCAAAGAAAGCTGCTTTTATATTTCCCCGTTGGTGTTTTTCCCTCTCTCCCCGTCCCCTGGAGCGCACACATGCAAACAGCCCTCGCGTTGTCGAGGGATCGATCTGTCCCTGCTGACTTCTGCTCACCAGAAACCAGGAGAGAGGTTTATTGCTGTCTGCAGGGAATATTTGTATATGATGGTACCGAGCATGGGTCTGGTTGGGGTCCCGGGGTGGCACAAACCCGTCCTGGGGCCAGGCGGTGCATTCAGAGCTTGCCACCGCCGAGGAGCAAGCACGGAGGAAAGCAGTAGCGTCCTCTGTAGTAACAGAAGACATTGAAAGCTCTGGATGTTCGGTGTTAAAAAATGACTTGATCACTTCTGACCCCAGCTAAGGTTAAAATGCAAAGTGTTTTCCTGGGTGGTGGAGGCAGCCTGAGCTCCCCCCGCTGCCCCAGCCCCTTTGCTGGCTGTGACGGGCGGCCGGTGCTGAGTGCCACCTTTATCTTCTTGGATTTACAGAAACTGAAGCACACGGAGAGCGACAAGCTGCAGGTGCAAATTCAAGCGTACCTGGATAACGTTTTTGATGTGGGAGCTTTGCTGGAGGATGCCGAAACCAAGAACGCAGCTGTGGAAGAACTGGAAGAGAACATTTCCCACGTTAGTACCACGCGTTGTCACCACCACGCGTTGTCACCCTTGTCACTGCGGTAGCTCCGAGCCTGCTCCTGCTGCCCGCTGCGGGAGGAGGGAGTGCGGGCGCAGCGGGGCTGCAGGGTTGGGGGTGAGGCTCTCATAGAAAAAGCCGTAGGACTGCAGCGCTGCTGTTTTGGGGGAATAATCAGATTTTTGGCGAATGAAGGAATTCAGGAGATCTCAGGCAGGTAAACTTCCTAGGTGCTTCCATGCTATATTTTAGCTGTATTCTGTGTGTTTTAGCTAACGGGTGCTCCACTTGCTGCAAAAAATGTGTTCGTAACCTGTTTATTGACCTGATGAGAAAATGTCTTATTTCATTATTTTATTTCTCCCATCTGCCACAACCAGCCCCCCAGCCCTGGGGCGGTGGGTTTGCGGCTTCGGAGGCTTCAGCTTCGGTTCAGTTCCAGGTGGAGTTGGTGCACAGAGGTACTCTGCAGAGTTATCTGACGAGCTGGGAAAAGCTAATTTCCAGAGAAACTGCAAATCCTCAGCAAGGCAGTGCCGGTGAATAGAGCAGATAACTGTCCCAGCTGTGTCTTAAAACACATTTCTGGGCTCAAGGGGGTGGGACTGAAGAGCAGCCCCATGCAGATGGTGTTTGCTCAGTTCAGCGTCCGCTCACGGCTTTTCTGTCCTGTACCTTCGTGGCATCAATGGCTTTGGTCTGGAAAACATGGCTTGGCTTTCTTAAAATGAAAGTGGCTTTCCAGACTTAAAAAAAAAATATAGTAAAAGGGTCGTTATTCTCTTACCGTTCCTATATTGCCATCCCCTGGTGTGTTCTAAAGCAACCTGCTGTGCAGCGTTGGCCCCTCTGAGGTGCCCTTTGCTGGAGACAGGTGATGCTGTGGAAACAGCTCTGTTCCCTTCGGAGATCTGCTCCTTTGAGCTGTTCAGAAACTCTGCTGGCAAATTAAGGGCTTGCTTCGGATCTCTTCTTACGTAAACTAGACCAGGAGCACGGTCGTGATTTTCTGTCGTGTGTAGGCAGAAATACAAATAGTAGAATCGCAGAAGTTTGCTCTCCAGACCACCTCTGTGTCCTCGCCAAAGTCGGTGTGGTTGGTGGTGATGGGAAAAGCCAACGAGGGCTGCGGGGCTTGCAGAGCTCAGCTTTGTGGGGCTGGCAAAATACATAAAAGAAAAAAGAAGATAAACCCTTTCGTTTGTTACTAATCAGATCAGCCTCATTGCGAGAGGTGATGTTTGTCGGTCCCACCGTTTCGGCATCTGTTGGTTTTGCAGTAGTGCCATTGGGGTGTTCTGTGGGGTTTGGGGTTTGGGATCAGGCACAGAGCGTATGAAGAGAATTGCGTTTGAGGTGCTTTACTGGAGGGTGGGCTCTCCTGCCTGGACAGGTTCATCGCTGCGGTCCAGCCAGGTACCCGCTGGGCATTGCTGACGGATAACATCCATCATCAGGGGACCTTCCTTGGGGCACTTGGTGCACCCCAGTCGTGTGCAGGAACCCTTCCAAAGAAAGACTGAAAGGTTTGGTGGGATGTCAATAATTTCCTCTGTACCACTGCTCTTGACGGTTGAGAAAACAACTGTTACCCGCTTCCATAATGTATTTCTCTTTCGAATGATAGTTATCTGAAAAACTCCAAGATACGGAGAACGAAGCCATGGCGAAGATTGTGGAACTGGAAAAACAGCTGATGCAAAGAAACAAGGAGCTGGATGTGATTCGGGTAAGCGCGATGGGTGCCACGCTTCGGGGGAGCGATCTGCTGGGCACCTTGTGTTTGGGAGGTGGTGACTCCATTAGCGGGCCAGGTGGCTTCTCGTAGCTTCCGAATTCAGAACATAGGACGGATTTCAGCATCTGCTCCTCGGCACAGCAGCCAGCAAGGCATCAGACACTCTCTGTTGAAGTCAAAATCGAGGAAGCGTACCTACACTATATATTTAAGGCTAGTGTAAGAAATGGGAGGCATTGTGATGAGAAATTCTGCACCCCCAGTGCTGGTGCCCACGGCTGAGATTCCTCCCAGGACTCAGTACTGTGTGCTACCTTGGGAAAAGCACAAAATGAATTCTTCCTCCCCAGTGAAGATGTGGGGTTTGCATCAGAGCTCATTGTTGGGTGGAGCCTGGCGCAGTGACCGTGCCCTGCCAGGCTGTTCTGTTTCTGGTGTTGGTATTCTGTTCTGGGAGTAATTTTGTAAATGGAAATTGCCTTGTTTCTGCTGCACTCTCAGGAAATCTACAAAGATGCAAATACCCAGGTTCACACCTTGAGAAAAATGGTGAAAGAAAAAGAAGAAGCCATCCAGCGACAGTCGACGCTGGAGAAGAAGATCCACGAACTGGAGAAGCAGGGAACCATTAAGATCCAGAAGAAAGGTGACGGTGACATCTCCATCCTTCCTGTTGCTCTGGCCTCCGGGATGGTGCCGGCAGGGTCGGAGGCTGTGGCTGGCACGTGTGTCGCACCGGTCGCTGGAGCTGCGTCCTCGGTACCGCTGCCACCGCCTCCACCCCCGTTACCCGCCGTAGCAGCAGCATCCGAGGCAGGTAAGAAGCGTTTTGTCCCCGAGGTGCCTGCAGGTGGTGGCACCTTGCAGCAGCCAAGGATGCTGAGGTCCCCCAGCTGTGTCACACTCATCGGTGGCTCCCGTGTGTCTGATCTGTTTCTGAGCCCTTCAGCTGATAGAAAAAAATTAATAGTGTCTTTCATTAGAGTAGTTTTCTCCTGGGTTAACACAATGAAGTCCTTTGGTGAATGGTCCAGAAAGTGCGTGGGCCAGTGTGGTGGTGGGGAGGAGAGGGATAGTTGGGGACAAGGTGGATGTTGTGACTTTTTCTGCAGGTGCTTCTGAGATTTTGCTCGGCGTTCACAGCAGCATCTCATTTTTCCTTCATTTCCTAGTGCCGAACGGTCCTGTGTCGGTGCCGAT